GAGCCGTAGAGCAGCTTGCCGAAGATCAGCGGGATCTGCTTTTTGAGGATGCCGGGGCCGTTGTCCTGGACGCCGACCTTGTACTTGCCGGCCGACGTGGGCTCGATGTGGACCCAGATCTCCGGCAGGATGCCCGCCTCTTCGCAGGCGTCGAGCGAGTTATCGACGGCCTCCTTGACCGTGGTCAGCAGGGCCTTACGGGGGTTGTCGAAACCCAGCAGGTGGCGGTTCTTCGAGAAGAACTCGCTGACGGAGATCTCTTTCTGGGACGCCGCCATCTTGGCGGCGTCACTGCGGCGGGAGGTCTTGGGGTTGGCCATCAGGGGCAGCTAGCGGATCGTGTCGGGGCGGTCGGCTCGAGGGGAAGCCTAAGATTCTGCCCGAAACGGGGCTGAGGCGAAGGGGGGCCGAGAATCGCCTTACCGGCGAACCGCGAAGGACCCTAGTATTGTCGTCGCCCTACAGGCTCTGACGCGACACCTTGGATTAGTCGGATGGAAACCACAATCGACTATAACGGCGAGGGCGCTTGGTCTGCCGCTGAGATCGTCCGTCGCTACCATGTCTACTCGAAGCGGTTTGGGATAGCGAAGCCACTCGTCATCCAACCTGCTCAGCACAGCGAGGGTGATCGGCGATGGGTCTACCCTGTAATGCACGAAGTGATAATCGGCATCGAGACTGGCGACTTAGCCTGCGCTCAGCTGGGGATTGAGTTCATCGAACAAGACCAGGGATTTCCATTCGGCTCTTTAATCAAATCTTCGACAGCGAGGTCGTTGCGACGCTTCCCCAATCTGACTCGGGAACAGATCGATCGGATCAGGAGTCGTATCGTCTTCATGCTCCGCCGCGGCGCCGTGCCCCGTGAATATCGCGAATACGCCCGCCTCCTTCGAGCCGTCGGCGTCGGCCCCCACTGGAGCGACATTGAGAAGGCTGTGCCTGCGAACCGGTACGCCGCTAGAGCAAAGGCGTACTTCTTGCAGCACTGCCGAATCATCGAACCGTGAGATGCGAGCCGGGAAGCGTTAGCTCCCGGAGTAACGCCGGTACCTGCTTCCCTCCGAGGACTAACGTCACCCGGCTCGCCTACGCTCTGCTAGCTCCACTTCTCTTCCGGTTAGGCAAACCTTGCCGCCCCCACCTTCCACAAAGTCCGGTCGTACCGGCTTTGCGGGCTTCGCCGAAAACTCTCCCCGCTCCGTCCACGCCACGCCGATCGTTGGGGCTAGACGATTATGAAAGGCAGTCGGGCGGAGCTTGGCTGCTACGCGTCACAAAGGGGGGCCTCCAGGGCCCAGTCACGGAGCAAGGAGGCTTCCGATGTCGCGCTACTTCACCATCGCCGCCCTGGCGATCTGCACGCTGGGCGTCGTCGCTCAATCGGCCAACGCCAACAACGGGTGGAACGGCCGCCGCGTCGTGAGCCAACAGCGGCCTAACGACCTGTTCTACAACTCCTACGTCGGCCCGCAGCCCAGCGGAACGGCCGCGCAGATGTACGTCGCCCCGCAGCCCGTGCCGGCGGCGATGGGTCACACCTACGTGACGTACCAGCCGTTCATGCCGCACGAGTACATGTACCAGCACCACCGCTCGTACTGGACCCACAACCCCGGCAACGGGTGGACACGCACCAAGGTCCGCTACCACGCCGGCGGCAACAAGCTGCAAGCCGCCGCCTTCGGCCTCTGGGACGACACGCTGTGGGGCCGGATGCGGGGCGCGAACTTCTTCGACCACCTGGATGCGATCCCGTCCTACGCCTACTGATGGCTGGGCAGTTAGGTCGCTCGGAACACCCCTCCGACGACTTGCGTCGCAGGCCCGCGTCTCAGCAATCGCTGTCCGTTTATTTCCCCCGCTAGAAGCGAGACTCGCCATGCGTTCTCGGATCGTTGTCGCCGCCCTGGCGGTTGTTGGAATCGCGGCAGGCATCGCCGAAGCTGGCGGCCCCGTGATGTGGCCCCTGTACCGCGCCACCAACTACAACTGGCACGCCAACTACGCGCACCAGCAGTACGGCCAGCCCGTGGCGCTCGTCGTCCCGCCAACCGCGAACTTGCAAACGCAGTATCGCTGGGGCGTCGGTAGCAGCCGCGTCGGACGCCTCGATCACCAGTTCGGCCGCAACTGGCCGGGCCCCGGCCCTCACGGCGGCCCGTTCCAGCCCCAGCCGATCTGGCCGCAAGACACGACGCAGTTCGGCGTCTACCACGTCCGCGCTCCCTGGTGATCGCGACGAGTCCGATGCATCGAATCGGACGCTAATCGAATACGAAGGTCCCCCCCTTTGTGGAGAGGGCCGCCCGTTCCCAGGAACGGGCGGCCCTTTCTCTTTTGGCGGCGGCTAAATTTTTCCGTTGCGATGCCCGACACCAGCGCGTTCGGCTCAGGTTTTCACCTCTTCGTGGCTTCGCACTCAGCCCCCGGCTCGTCAGCTAGACTACAATGGCCGAACCCTTGCAGCCGACCTGGAATCTCCACTTGCAGGCAAGACCCAATGCGGTTTGGACATCGCCGTTACATTCTCCTGACAGGTTTGATTCTCTTTTTGTTTAGAGATGTCGCCGATTCTGCAATCATCGCCACCGGTCAAGTTCTGCCAAGCAATCCCATGGCTTGGACTTCGTCGCAGAACGCTTATGTGGGCAATACGGCCGACGGAAGTCTGACAATCGATGACGGAAGCACGATTCGCTCGAATGATGTCTATCTCGGCTTCCGCCCTCACGTAACCGGCATGGCGATGGTCTCCGGGCATGGTTCGGCCTGGAATAGCAGGGGCTCTTTTTTTGTTGGCTACCTTGGATCAGGGGATCTCAGCATCCAAGATGGCGCCGTTGTCAACAGCTCAAGTTCTTCTGTCGGAGGAAGCGTCTCTTCAAACTCCGTGGCGATCGTCAGTGGCGTTGGTTCGACGTGGTACAACCAGGTTCGACTTAATGTCGGATCCAGCAGCAAGGGAACCCTGACCGTATCGGCTGGTGGCGTCGTCGAGATCGGGAGCAACGGCCTCAGGGGAATCCTCTCCATGGGAACCCAGTACGGTATTGGCGGCGTCAACTTGGAGGAGGGCGGGACGCTGCGACTCCGCGGTGGGGACATTGAGCTGACGAGCACAGGCAAAGCGACCTTCAACTTCAGTGGCGGCCGCCTTGAAGGTGTCGGTTCCTTCTACACATACAACAGCGGCAGATTGATCCAGAATGGCGGTGCGCTCGCCCCAGGCAATTCTGCTGGCGTTACAAGAATCCTCGGCGACTACGACCTAAGAGCAGGCTCGCTGGAAATTGAACTCTTTGGCGACGGTGGGGTCGCAGGGACCGACTACGACCAACTTGTTGTCACCGAAGATGTATCGCTCGGCGATGGCGCTACGCTCGAAGTCTTGCTTAACTATCCGGCGGAAGTCGGCGATTCCTTTCTCATCGTCAACCAGCGCGGATCAAAGCCCGTTGGCGGTCTCTTCGCCAGCCATACCGATTTGACAACAGCGTTTGGCGATTACCGATACGGGTTTTCTGTAAACTACGCGGCGGGCGACGGCAATGACATCGGCCTCACGGTAGCGTCCATCAGGCCGATCCCCGAACCGAATGCCCTCGCATTACTTCTGTCAGCGGGCCTCGCGGTACGTTGCCGTGACCACAAGCTGTAGCGAGTGCAGCCCTGCTGCGGCGGAAGTGTCAAACATCGACTCGCCCTAGCGCTATGCCCGTTCGATCACCGCGGCGATCGCCTGCCCCGTCAGCGCATAATTGAGCGCCAGCATCGCCTCGCCGTCCGCGGGGCGGTGCTCGGCCGAGGCGTTCACCGGGCACGCCGGGTCGGGCGTCTCGTAGTTGAGCGTCGCGGGGACGACGCCTTGGCGCCAGCCGACCAGCGCGAGCGCCAACTCCAGCGATCCGCCCGCGGCGCCCGAAGACCCCAGATAACTTGTCGGCGCCGTTACCGGGGCGTCGCCGATCGTCTCCGCCAGGGCGGCGGCTTCCATCGCGTCGGTTTCGATGCGGGCCGAGCCATGGGCTTTGACCATCGCCAAGTCGCTCGGCGCGACGCTGGCTTTCTCGAGCGCGTCTTGTACGGCGCCAACGATCGCCTTACCTGTCGGTTGGCGTGAGTCGATCGATGGCTCGCAACGCGTCGAGACCGCTGCGACGCTGCCCCACGCCTTGCCGCCGCGTTGGGCGAAGCCGCGACGCTCGGCGTGATCGCGGCTTTCGAGGAGGAAGAACGCTGCGCCCTCCGCGGCGACGTACCCACCTCGGTCTTTATCAAACGGCCGGCAGGCTTCGGCGGGGTCGCCCGCGTGACGGCTCAGCCCGGCGCCGCCG